CCCCAAAACCCCAAAACCCCAAAACCCCGGTTTACTGCTGGATAATTGAGATTTCTGCTCTTTGCTTATTCCAATTCCAGTATCTTTGACAATAAACTTTACAAATAATTTTTCTTTCACCTTAACTTGCTCATAGCCCACAGTGATTCAGCCACTGAATGTAAACTTTAATGAGTTCAATAATAGATTTATCAGAACTTGTTTGATCCTCTTCTCTTCAGAGTACACTCTGGCTTTTCTGATGTCTGGATTTATATGGACCTGCATTTTGATGTTCTTTTGCTCTCATTGTAATTGCATCATTTCAATAGTGAGTCTTAGCATTTCTGGAACTGAGAACTCAGCCTTGTTGATCTGAAAAGTCCCCACTTCCATCTTCGGCAGATCCAGAATGTCATCGACCAGAGCCAGCATCAGAGGCGATGAGTGCTTTACGATGTTCAAGAACTTCTGAAACTGCTCCGAGTGTAGTTCCAGAAGCTCTGACAACATTCTCTTAAATTGGTGAGTCAGACCACCGATTTCTTGGAGAATGCCTTGGTATGAATTCTCAATAATTTCGAAAGAGTTAATGATTGCATTCAGAGGTGTCATGAACTTGTGGTTGACTCTCGCAAACATGATGTTCTGACACTTGATGTTGTTCTTGGCTTTTTGTAACTGAATAACCTTTTTGTTATTGATGAACACATGTAACTAAGAGGGTTCTGACTCCCAGCCGACTCTGAGCATTTCAACGCTGCCGATTTTTAAATACTCACAAAGTTCTTGGTTTTCGAGAGCTTAAATTTCACTAGGGTCTCCACATCTTATTTGCAGGTTGTGGCTTTTCAATGAAAATATCTTTGAAGCAAGACTTTGTTGATTTCTTACAAATCTGTCAGTTCCTTGACTGAGTTGTTTATACTCTTCCTTAGAATTCTGTTCTTTCATCGAAATCACTCCAATCCAAGAAAGCTCATCCAAATCATCTTGAACTTTGCATAACTTCCTCTCAAATTCACCATTAGCATATCAGTTAGAGCTAGCTTTATTCTCAGAAGTAATGACTATGTCTAGAGAAAACATTCTCATGATTTTCTTGAATTCCTTACTTCTCCTTCGTTTATTCAACAATTCAGAGAAAAGGGCTCTCTGCCTTTTCTCTAAAAGAACATTGGAACAGTAAAATGTACACATCAACGAGTAAGACCAAGTATGAGACGATATCGCTTTTCTTTGATTAGAGGTATATCTTCAGCATTATGTAGAAATTGCCCAATATGAACCAAACTGAGCTAACTATTGGAAGATATAATACCAATATCGCCAATCAATAAATGAAGCTGTATAACATTATTGTCGTATCTTTGGATGGGTCTCCTTTTTCATAGAAAGTGATGTTTCCTGTTCACATCAATGTTAATGGGATTGGCAATGGCTTATCATATATTAGCACCTTTGGCCACAAGTTCACCATGATAGTCAGCCTCATGAAGAATGATACCCAGTACATCCAATTATAAGCAACGAGTGGATATCTTTCCTTGTCTTCATTGGCTAAGGGATTAGACTATCCTACTTACTATATATTACGAAATTCATATTGCAAGAGAAGCCACTGTTACATATATAAGTAAACTCCTGATGGCAACTCTGTATTTCTTTGTTATGTTCTCGTATATTACTCATCAATCAGTTTATCAAGCTTGGGATCTTCCTTAAGTATTCCTGTTCTAAAAAAAAATTATAGGAAATTTATCACTAAAATTCATGTTAAAATTTAATTTTTTGAAAATTCATAAATTTGTAAATATTAGACTAGATAGTGTAGACTTATTGCGTCACTTTGTAAAAGCTCTCACCACAAAGCTTGAATAATACAAGGGCTCATTAGGCTGGAAATAGGAACTAACATCGAAACGAATTTAATGCATTATTCTAAAAGTTCTCTTCTGAACATGCCAATAAGAAGACCAAAAAATGAATTTTAAAATAGCAGTATAACTTGGTTTTCAACTTATTGCTCTCTTACGTTTCTCATAAAGTCTGAAAATATTATGCGGCCGAGAATCTCTGTTCCCTGAAAGTCTATCATCTGGCTCATTTTTCTTATAATTTTCTAAAAAATGAGATAAATTAATTCCGAAGGGAAATATACTCTGAGAATGGAGAAGCCTCTTTGGCTAGAACTTGTGCTTGAACACTCCTAGTGGTATGACTAGCTTTCATCACTCTGATTAAGAAATTTAAGGAATTATTGAGGTAAAATTGGCATGATTGTAAAGATGCTATACTCGCAAACAATTCACCTACATTCGCATGAATCTACTAACTAAGGAGAAGAAGAGTCTTATAATTAGAGGCATACTGTATGTATGCTTCAATTGATATATCAAATATTCTATTGAAGTCTCCTAGATGCTAATTGGAGCTTAAAGTAGATCCTAAGAATAGGTATAAAAAGAAAGGAAAGCAGGATCTTGCTCAAGCGTATTCCAAATGGATAAAGTAACCTAGTATTTGGTCAAAACTATGTAATTTAGGCTTTAATTTAATATTGAATACTGTGATAATATTGACTCAAAGAACTCGGTTGACATTAAACTAACCATCTCGACCATTTTGGTTGCTTTTATTTCCTTAGGAACCATGAATGAAATTTATCAGAGAAGAAAATCCACGAATTTCTATTAAAATACAACTAATATTTTATATTCAGCAACTAAATTCTCAAATTTAATATATCTGTACCTTCTATTTGTCCCAAAATCCCCCAAACAACACCCAAAAATAAGTTTTTCCCGATTTGTAGTCATTCTTGATCTCTCAACTCCACCTCTATACACTTTCAAACATCTCCACCCTATCCCTACACACCCACCCTTCCACTTAACACCCATCTAACCAATCAGAACCCCTCCATCCTAGCCCACTCCCACTTCCTGTACCCCAACTATTCCCCCAAAAATCCCAAAAATCCGAAATTTCTTCCTGCAATTCCTCCATCTTTAGTACAAATATTGGTCTGGCTTATACGGAGGCTGGGGTTTTGGGGTTTTGGGGTTTTGGGGTTTTGGGGTTTTGGGG